GCAAGCACATGTATGTCGGGGGTCTCTGAGCACACACCGGCTGCTTCCTGCTCAAGCAAGTTGTGTGTTGAGTAGAGGCAGGTGAGAATGCTCTGGGAGGCCATGTGCTGCAGTGCTGCCATCTTTAGCCCCGGGTTTGGGCCAGGTACACAGCAGCTGTTTGTCTCTGTGGGCGAATAACTGTCACACAAATACACATCCATGCATGCCAGTAAAAATGGTGCCAGATAAGAGGAAATATCTGTGCTGGCTCAGGATTGAAATGTCATCCTTTTACTTGGGGCCAATATGATTTAAACATAGTGTTACATTCAAATACACAGCCATAGACACAGACCATAACAACACACAGGAAGACGCACATTAAGTCACCACAGCCACCTTCTATGGGTTTACCAAAACAGTAAAATTGAAGTAATGGTTACATAATTGAACATTGTAATTCAAGCATTGTAATTGTAATTTAACTCCGCTCTGCACTTTTGTGTTCAGTGGATTCGGTGCTATTTTATTCCGAGTGAAAATAATCCTCAAGATGCACCAAATGCCATGATAAGGACAGTTCATCCGGATGAGCGTTGTGCTTCTTAATCTGGGTCTAAATAAAATCAGGATCAGCATCAGGATCACATTGAACTCATTGCCAGTATTGATAATCCACACCAGTCATTAGAACAGAATAGCTGATTTGGTGATATTATTGGATATTGAGTGGTACATTTTAAGACAGGGGTTTAATGAATCAATAATATGACATCTAATTAGTCATTATATAAAATAGTTAAAAGAGATGTACACTATATGTATGTAGTGTTTAAGTACATTCCCCCTAAATTAGTACAGGCTGCACTTTTTCCTTTTTCCACACACTCAACTAATGGCAACAACATACTCACACAACGCACACAGTCATGCAACCTTATGATGTCTGAATGTATTACACTGTACATATGGTTGCTGCTTATAAAAGCGTTGAAAATATTTTGAAACGTTTGAAATATTACGCTTAACAGCTGCTTCAAGTGCAAGTTAATCCACTCTCGTTTCCGTGCAGTAATCTAATGGCCATTTCCTCAACTGCACGGTTGCCATTACTTGATTCATGATGTGAATCTCTATAATGTTGGAGATGTGAGATTTGGTATGACCTTGTTCTTTAATCTGGAAGAAATATTTTCCGGGAATACAGAGCAACAAGCTGTGGGGAAAAAAAAAAACTGTTAAAGAATTAGAAGCAAGTTTGAGCCCAGCTGGTTGGATGTAGATAATATAATTGGCTCGTGGATGTGAACTGACTTCAACAGGCAGGTCTGCTGCGGAATATATTGCTTCATTAAAAAGAGCAGAGCATATTGTAAAAAGCTGTGGTGGGGTTTCATGTAGTGTTGAAATAAATGCTATGGTTTCATATCAGCGAACTGGGGTTATGTCTTGTAGAAGAACAAATGTTGGCCATTACATTATAATGGAGGGTCATGTAAACCTATAGCTACAAGCCAAAACCATGATACTCTGTCAGACTGCACTGTATGCTGTCTTTTCTGTATATTTTCAATGTGCTATTATCTGAATCTCATGCATTTATGCAACATAGAGAAACTCTACAGTGACTTATTCCGTGCAATCGTGCTGTACAACACAATATTGTAAAGATCTGCTAAATGTTTCACTAGTACATGATTTGCTTTTATTTGTACAACACATACTTATTTTTAGGTATTAGTGTAACATCATCAGAAGATGAGATGTTCTTAAAAGGGTAAACCCCTGACTGAACCAGTTATGTTCCTCAGCATTGAAATTGTGAATCCAAAAGTTTACTGACTTGCATGCAGTTAATACTAAATTAGTTTATGAATAATGTAATGTTTTGTTTTATCTTGAATTTACTTACTGAGAATTCGCTTGTTTGCCCCCTACTGCCCACTTTGAAGCATGACATACATGGATGACACATTGAATCATGCGTTCTCCTCCCCAGTTCTGAACTACGTGGTGCTGTGTGTCCTGGTTTCCTTGAGATGAGTTCAGGGCCAATGGCAAGGACACCAACTTTGTATGAACTGAGTTGAATAATTTCTCAGATATCTTGTCCTTGAAAGCAACTTAAGAGTAATAATCAAAATTCACTGGAGGAATCATCTCATCCCAAAAGATATGGCTATATGTGTAACAGTATAAAAACAGCTAAGAAATAATATGACAGATGTATAATAGAGGGAAACAAATGGTTGGCCCAAGAGGTGTGCCTTGAGGCACACCATGCAATCAGTGAAGCTGAAAGAAAGTATCATAAATTGAGAGTGAAAACTGTATGTTTGACAGTTCAAATGAAAAAAGGTCAAAGAAAGCCACAGAGAAACCAAACAAAAAGAGGAACTATCATGCCCATGGGGGGACATTTTCTTGATTAATTTGTCATGGTTTTTCTTAAACCAGAAGGGGGAGCTGTTCCATGTCTCTGAGTGAAATACATTGTTTTATTGGGTGATACAGCAGTGGTAGAATTTTTTTTCCAAATAGGCAATCGTTCCTGTTATCCTTCTCCCTTAAGCCTAGTCACAAACTGAAGGAGAATACAACACTATAATTATTTGCTTTCATAATCATGCTCTTTTTAAGTACAAACAAGCATTCACTTCTTTTACCAAGACACACACAGCCTTCTTCAAAATGTGTAAGGATATAAATGTCAAATTTTTCTCCCGGGTTGAATACTCTTTCAATTCCCTATTCTAAAAAAAACAAGGATATTGACTTCATCCTCGCCTTCATCCCCCATTTTATGATAATATACACCAACTCCCAGATTGTTTTAAGCAACTTGATCTAATTTAAGGGACTTAATCCTATCTCCTGATTTCCAGCCACCATGTGACATCATCTTTTAGACTCAAATTACAGATGTTGGCCTCTACGCCTTGGATTTATGTGAAGACACAGGAACACATTTCCCTATTAGTTGGGCTATGTATAAACTATTAAGACAGCTGCAATGAGCAGGGAAGTATCTCTGCATCCCTAGCTGTTCTAAATCTAGTTTTTTATTCACAGGAGTATGCAGTACCAGATTTTGGTTCACTAGATTAACTGATATTAAACTCGCAATCTCTGAAAATAGAGGACTCTTGTTGCATGATTTAAGATCATGGTTTACTGTCTTTTAGCTGAATCTCAGTCCATGCATGTTAAGACTCCATAGTTTCTTGGCAAAAATGTAAAGAGATTAAAGTTGCACCAATACAATTTGCATTGTTTGACCATAGGGGCCTGAAAACTTTACGGCTTCAAGTCTTTAGCATTAGCTTGTAAAGGAAGGCTATCACTAAGCTGTTAGCAAACAACTGTCCCTTTACCCTACGCTGTTTTTAGGAAAGGGAATTGGTATACACATCACAGTCCTAATCATAATTAATCTTTGATTGCAGACAAGAACAAATATTTCTTAACAGTTCAACTTACTTCTGTTTCTCTCGGCAGCCAGTTAGCTTGTTCTTGGAGTTTCTCCCTATAGCCTAGGCGACTGTGCCAGTATCTAAACTTTTACATTTGAGTTTTGTTTTGAAGTTTGACATTTATGATTAACAACATTAAAGTCATAGACTGTAACTTTTCATACAAATACATGTTCCCTTAAATATACATAGCCTAGGCTAGCTAAGCCAATCGCTGTCTTTTTTTCAGAAACAAAAAAGATTACGTAACTTTTCACTTGCTTGTCTTATAGTGGCTACTACTACCCAAAATGTTTAGTTTGTTTAAATATGTTTTAAAAAATGATTAATGTCTTGTGATTTCATAATTTATTTCATCATTCATAGCCGAATAATGAAAGTAATGATCTCTCTTGGCCGCCATCTTGGAGTTATTTAAGCCTTATTACAGTATGTGAACATAGGTTGTGAAACTTATTTATTGTCAAGTCAGATTATTAGTAATTTAAATGCGTACAAGAGTATTTTGATGATCTGGAAATGTTTTCAGAAGAAGGGTAGACTAAGGGTTTATACACATAAATATATATAGTTAATGCTAGCTTTGAGCATTAGCAGCTAATTAGGTACACTTTAAAACATAAAGAATATCAGAATCAGAATTGTTATATTACCAGGTAGGTTTACACATACGAGGAATTTGCTGTGGTATAATGTGGTGCATACAAAGACATAGAAAGAAGAATACATAGCCAAATATGCTACAATACAACAAATGATATTGTATAATGAAAAGACTAGTGAACACATTTTAATGTTGTTAGTTTAGGTCATTATTTTTGAAAAACAACAGTGAGAAAAATATGAAAAAAGCTGTGTTGTGTGTTAAAATGTTATTTAACTCACTTGTTATTAATGATGTGAAATATGTTGAATTTGCGCATACTTTTAGCGAAGCTGTGTGAAGCTGAGTACTTGTTTTTGAATGAAATCCCACACCATATTTTGTTTTTTGCCTGAGCACACACAGGATCCAAACTTCCGTGTGACTCCACACCCTGTTTTCCGGGGAGCCGGTGGAGATCCAGCCCTTCAACACGCTGCTCTCTTACGTCCCGACCGTGAGCAGTGAGGTGGCCGCGGCGGAGATTTCTCCTTCTGGTTGGATCCTATCTTTTTCACCACCAGCTAATTCTAGTCTTTTCGGCGCTTGACATATATTGGAGTAGTGAAGTCGGCGCGTTGGTGCTCAGTCGCCCACAAAACGTTTCGTCCTTGCGCTGCGCCTCCGTAGCAATGGATTGATTTCAGTGTTTTTTCACCGACCTCTGCCTCGACCAAGTTGAGAAAACAGTCTCTCTAACCTGCGGCTCTCTCTTTCCAGCTACATGTTTCATCCGGCCACTTTTAAAAGTACCTGGCTCCGGATGTTTATACACATTTTAGGACTTTGAACTTTTTTCCGCTTGTGCATTTGAAGGAGGTGGCCGGGGATTTTAAGGATTTCGTTTTTTTGAAGCTTCTCCGAGGTTCCTGAAGCCTGCAAAGATTTATTCGTGAAAAGTGATGGCCGAGCGGGGAGCTCTGTCGCTCCTCTCTCTCCTCTGTCTCACCTTTCTCTACACGGAGACCACCGCGGCAAAGCATGTCGACAAAGGTAAATGTCTTAAATACACTGTTATTCTTCTGTAGATGTCTGCTTCTTAACGCCTCGATTAAAGAAACTTACGAGCTTGCATCACGAGTTGTACAAAAAGAAACACACGGAATGCTGCTGGCTGTGAAAACCAGACGTAGAGCTAGGTAGCTAATTTTGCTGTGTTTAGGTCAGCTACTCCTTCACCATTTACACAACTTTAAAAGTAGGCTACTTTTCCATAGCATAGCCTACACACTATTTACTCTAAGGCCATCCCTGTTTAAAGAAGTAAAGCAACACGCTTTTTCCACTCCGTCCTTTTGTCTTTTCATACAGGCTGTTGAGGCAGATCTTCTGATTGGTTTGTTTGTCATTCAAATGATTCCTACACATGCTGTTTAGTTGTTTCACAAACATGTATTGGGCACATTTATGTACATTGTGTTGCATTTGTATTTAAAAGGCTACACAACACGTTTTGTTTGTTGAATTAAGGTTTTGCATCTACCTGTGTTTAAATGGTGATGGCAGGAACTTGAATCTTAAAAAAAATCCATTAGTCATTAGAGCTCACTGTCAGGTAATAAGCTGCTAGCATCATCAGTCCAACAGACATCTCATTACCTGGGCGTCAATACATGTTTAGCTGATGGATAAACAGACCCCAATTAATTTGCTCCTGTTAATTGTTTTGAAGTGAGATCACTGCACTGCAGTCTCTGCCTTATTTCACCTGGTGATATTCTGTAGTAAGATATTTCACCGATATTATACATTATTTCTTGATATTAGAGGTTCATTCTTGATATTAGAGGTATTGATTTTGAGTCTGTATGTTTCAGTCTAACTCACCACGATATGTTGTAAGGACCATGGCAGGAGTGCCTGAGATAAATTGGCCAGCAATGAAAAGAAAATGTCTTTCCAGCAGGCATTGGAGTGCACAGCTACAGCTCATATCACATACCCCATCGTGACTAAGTCACATCTTTATAATTTAAACTGTTAGACTTCATCAAACACAACAGTGTGTGGTCTGGAAAATTGTAAATATAACTCACTTTTTTTGCTACTTGGCCCAGTTTTTTCCATCATTCTCGTGATATGCAAAACAGTTGTGTGTGTGTGTGTGTGTGTCCATGTGCCTTTTGAAAGCTTGTTGTTTATTTTAAAAAGAATGAATGTGCATTGAAGACAGGCCTTGGAGTGACAGGCCTGTGCTAGCTGCTGGGCTCTCTTGCGTGTGGAGCCTGATGAAAGACCCTCTCCTGCATGAAAAGCGCTTTGCAGTAGTGGAAGGGGAGATAGATAGAGAGGGAGAAAGAGTGAGAGAGAGGAAAAAAGCCCCTCCTTGGCTTTGCCGGAGATCACTACAAAAGAGAGAGATGGGGGTAGGGTGAAACAGGCTGACTGTCTGGAAAGTAATAAAACCAGGAGATTAAGGGGACCTGGGAGTTCCTTTGGGAGCTTTGATTGATTCCAGAGAATTGGACTGGGACCCACACGCAGAGAGTCTCAAATTACTAATTGTGGGGTCCCCTTCTCTGGAAATATCTGTTTATTCAAAACACATTTCTCCGAGGCACTGGCTGTGGCCAGAACTTATCTTTCTCAAAGTTGGCAGCCCTCAGTTAGAGATATCAATCTCATATATGTAATTGGTAGTCTTACTTTTTATTTTACTTTGCACTAACCTGTACAAGTTTAGCCAAACAGCTGCTATATCATTTTACCTCTTCCTCCTTATTAGCTCCTAGAAGTTGTCAGCACTTTTAAATAATGGCTCATAAAGTTTGGCTTTTGTAGAGAAGTCATTGTTAGAGGAGTGTAAAATCCATTTAGGCTCTATCTTATCTTTGTAATCCTGCTGGGAGGGAATAGTGTGCTGATTGTCTCCCAGCAGACAATGCAAATAACTTGCTGAAATGTGTAAACATTTGGCAACCCTATCTGCTCTTACTGAACACTCGTCACCAGGGTTTTATCCTCACAGACCACCTCAGATGCAACCCGACTTAGAGAAACAACTGTCGTTTTCTTTGGCGCATTTAAGTTCTTCTCTGTGGACTCTACTGCTAAGAACGTCATTTACCACCTTAGTGTTGTTTTGTTTGGAAAGCCCTGGTGGTCCTATGTCCCAGTTTGTGGGTAATATATATATATATATATATATATATATATATATATATATATATATATATATATATATATATATATATATATATATATATATATATATATATATATATATATATATATATATATATATATATATATATATATATATATATATATATATATATATATATATATATATATATATATATATATATATATATGAAGGCCTAACTATGGATCTTATGCATCTGGAATAAATCAATTATCACCTTTTTTTCACAGTGTAACGTGTATGCAGTGTAGTAAAATGTTTCTCTTCTCGCCACTTTAATTAATGAAAGGAATTTCATCTTCTGCTCAATCATACCTTCATCTTTTCCACATGTACACATCATCTTGTGATAAGTTGAGAAAGGGAGTCATGCAGAGTCACCTGCTGTCTGCTGTATGGAATATGCTGTTTACTTTATTTATGGGCTACAATCACTCATAAAGTCCTAATGACCTCCATCCACCAAGAGACGGATAATTGCACACCAAGTGTTTGATTAATTTGTTTCACTAATGAAACCATCCTATCAGGATGTGCTACTGATTTGCAATGGACACTGATATGGAGGCTAGGTTTCTTGCTTCTGTGTCCTCGTGTAAGAGGTGGTGTAGAAAGGTCAGCAGATCACTTGTTTGTGCAAATGTTATGTGGTGCTGAAAACGAAGGCAATTATTGAAAAAATTATGATTATGTACCCCTAACTGTCACAGCAGTTTATCACATGCAATTGGCAGAGCAATCAAGATCCTTTGAATAGATGTCATGACGTGCTGTTGCATCCTTTTGGTGATTGAGGGTCAGGGAAATCATCGGCTTTTAGCTTTTAGCTGATGTCGTAGCATAATGATAGGGCTATTGGCTGTTATTTCATGTAACAAGGGACTCCACTTTGTTGATTTGCCCACATATTGCTGTAATTTAGAGCAATCTCTACAGTGTAGGCTGAACTGCAGGATTTATGGAGACGTAGTGCATTCAAACTACGGTAAGGCATCATCGTTTGCACCATGGAAATACTGCACGCCTTGAAACCTACAAGGTTTGATCCCATTTCTAAATGTATCAAACACGCCTCAGCTGTTAGTTTAAAGGTTTATTGCATGAGTTTTAATCTACATGAAATCTCCCCCACACTCCATACATTTCTTCCAGATATTTTTCAATATGTTTATTGATTGCTGTTCAGCATGCTTTTTAAAACGGTTTCCTTTCATTGCTATTGTTAGCCCCTTGTGTATTTCAGGCATACACTGGGTTTAGCTGGCTGGCTGCTTGTGATAGTGAAGGGATGGTTGTTTTGTGTAGAGAGAAGCCAAGGGTCATGGTCTAAAACCCAGAGCGGATCATGGACAAGTCTATGGCTTCTGCTGCTTCCCTGAAGATGAAATTGCCTCTGTCAGAGCCAGTGGCGAGCCGTGACTTTTATACCTAGGCCCTCAGACCCCCACCCCTTCCCTTGAACAAAACAAAAAAAAGAGTTATTACGTCACAGCCTATACTTCAGCGGAATATCAAAACAACGGCCCGGGGTGCAAAACGCATCAATGAAAGCGACCCTCTACCTAGGGCTGCTCGATTATGGCAAAAATCATAATCTTGATTATTTGGGTCAATAATTGATATCACGATTATTAAAAACGATAATCCATTTACTTTGAAAACATCTATTTATTGAAAAATAAAAAATGTGAACAGTATGTTTTTAACAGTTGATTACCCTGAACTTTAAGTATAATTCAACTGAAAAACCAATTAAATTAATTAAATTAATTAATTAATTAAAAAAAGAATAATCGTTTTATTTCAATTATGTTGTTTTCATAATCGTTGCAAGCCAAAATCGCGATTAATATACGATTAATTGAGCAGCCCTACCTCTACCACACAAAACAACACCTGTATACAACCCAATTTGTGTTCTTTGAAATTGAAAAGGATATTGCATTGTGTTTGTTACTTTCGTTGCAGTTGTATGTCTTAAGTGTAATTTGGCATGCTTTTATTTTGATGGCGGGTTTACGCTGTTGACAGGAAGTTGTTGTTGCTATGGAAACAAGAACATTTTCACAGCGGCGGAACTTGTCATAAAGTCCGCGATAATAAAACCCACCCATTTAGAGGGAAGATATGATTGGTCAATTGTACTGTCATTTGACATTACTCTCTCGTTGAGTTACTATAGCGGGCCCTCTGTGAATTTACAGCAGGACCACCAAGCTCTCCCGTCTTCACAGTAACTCGCAGAGACGAGCTTCTTTCATTTAACCCTTCACATTCAAACAGAAAGTGAATAGGCAGATTTGAAGGATTTATTTCTTTGGAAATGTTATTTTAAATACAATTAAATCAAGTTATTTTGGTAAAACTAATGAAAAATATAACAAAATAAATATTTAAAAATAAATAAATTAGTTTTTAAATATTATTTTGTAGAATATCTTAGGCCCTCAGAGAGGGCCTAGAGGGCCCTGCCGGCTCGCCACTGGTCAGAGCTACTTCTTTTTGTGTGGTGCAGCGAAACACGACTGAAGTCAGCTTTTCTTGTCCCTCCACTGCAGCCTGTATACAAGCCTCTGATTCTGCTACACATTCAGAGGCTTTAAAAAGCTTTCTTAGGGCTGTGTTGCCTATATTCATTTTAATGTTTTTTTAATGTTTTTTTCCTTCCTAAATATCGTGAAGTTTTCCGGGATTTAAGGCTTTAACTATAGTGTTGTTTTATTTTGTGAAGCACCTGTAAAACCATCCATCTTTTTACTGCATTGAAATTAATTCATTTTCCAACACATAACATTTTAGCACTACTGGCTTTGAGGGCTCATATCTTTGTGTTTTTAGTAGGTTCTTA